AAAATTTTTTAATTAATGTGAGTAATAAAAAGTTAGATTTATAATTGATGTGATTGATAAGAAAAGACGTAATTTCTCACAAAAAATGATTGATTTGATAGTAGAAAGAAGTGACTAAAACATTACACACAAAAAATACAAGAAGAAAAAGAAAACACTAAAGTGTTCAATCTATAATAAAAAAAAAACTTTATTTTTTGAGTTTTCATTTTTTTATAATCATTTGAAATTATATTAAAAATTAAATTCTATAAGAAAAAATCTTTTTTTTTTGTCGACCAAATCCATTAATATGGAAAGCCATAAAAAACATTACAAGTAGTTTTGTTGATACCCAACAACCTGGACTTTACATACGAAAATTAATGATTAAAAAAATAGAGAAGAAAGTTTTTAAATAAAGCCCAGATTTCGACAGGTGTGGAACACATGTTTGGACAGAAAACAACAAAGATTGAATCTTCACTGTTCACCGTCTTCCGTCACAAGCTCCGTTCAATGCATAGTTATGATACATGACATATGATTTCAAAAAAGTTTAATAATAAAATTTAAAAATAAATGAAGAAATGGATGAAACACTTGGACCACTACAAAAATGAGGGCTCCGAATGGAGAAAGCGTATCAGGCGGAGCGGATAAAGCGGATCAAACGTATCAAAAGCGGATCAAACGTATCTGGCGGTACAAATGAGGATATAGTTCGAGCGCTTTAAATATGGACTTGAGTGGAAGGTGTAAAAAAGGAGATACAACATTGGTTCGGGTGAACCGTACATGTATCCCCCATTCATTATTTTGATTATGTGATTGTGCGTTTTTTTTTTTTAATGATAAAAAATGAATCAACCACTAGTGGTTCATAATATTGAAGAAAACTTGAGATCCGTTAGAAACAGTAGAAACACATCAGTTATCAAGCGTTTTTCTTATTCAAAAATAGTTTTCTTGTTTTTTTTTATCTTTTTAGTATTAATATTATTTAATTATGCAATTTGAGTTATAACATATTATTTAGATAGAAAAGTTTAGTCTTACCATTAATCTCTAACATCATTATGGTAATGATTAACTCTATTTTTTCTATCTAATATTAAATCTTTTTTCATTTTTAATTATAAATATAAAAATACATTTGTGTGACTTTATTGATGATTTTTTTTTTGGAATTGTAGACTATAATTAAGATGTTACAATATTTACATTTCATGTTATCATTTGTATTTTTTTTGCAATGTTAGTATTTGTACATAAAACATTAAAATAATTTTAAATTTAGTATATGTTATAATAATATATGATATACTTTTTCAAAATATTTTATGTAATATTTACTTTCTAAATCATTTTTTTATTTTTTAGTATTCAAATATTTTTTCTGGTATACTTGTTATCCGCTTTTACCATTGAAACAGATATATTAAAGCGTTTGAATCGCTAGAACCGTTTGATCCACACTTGTACCGCTAAAATCGCTTGATCCACACTTGTTCTGCTTGATCTGCCTGATCCGCTTGGTCCGCTCCGCTTGAAACGCTTTCTCCATTTGGAGCCTATGTGTTGAATGGTGAAAGCGGAGGCGGTGCACGTGAAGTATTTATATTATAAAAAATAGTAATTTTAAATAAAATATTTTTACATAAACAATACATACTAAAAAAAATTATATTGAAATGAATTTGCAATGTTGGTTTAACATATTATTGAACATGTGTTTAAAAAATACTATATATATATATATATTTTAAACTAAGAGACGATTGGCGCAGAGACAAAAACGGGATAAAAAATTAAACAAGAGATAATCAAATTTTTTTTTGTCAAGGAAATCTGTTACAAATGTTTGATAAGAAAGTCTGCAATACAAAAGTATTACGAAAAAACCATGCAATGCGCGTAAGATATTGGGTTGACTTCGAGCGCAAGAACATTTAATGCGTCTTTGGTGCAATGACATACAAAATTGACATGTATATATTTATTAACGGTTACACCAACATTAATTGTTTCGTCCATAAATTTGATACATATAATTGTATATTAACATCTAATAATGTAGTTATCACGTTGAGTCGATAGTTAGATCTTTGTTTTTTTTTTAGTGTGTTAAATAAACAGTTTGATGATAATCGGAGATGATCAAAATTTAAGTTAGAGAAATTTTAACACGGTACAAAAATATATTTCACAATTTTAACATTTATATACATGTGTATATATATATATATATACATATAGTGCGTTGGAAGTAATTAAAGTGTTAAGTCTTGGAGTCTATTTATACATGTAAATACAAATAGAGTTCATTATTAACATTTGTATACATATAAACACGTATATAGATTTTTATTAACATTTGTATATATATAATCACATTTATATACATATTATATAGTAAACAATATATAGAGCGTTATTACATTTATATGCATAAAAATGTATACATAAAGCGTTATTAACATATGAGAAATCATGCAACAAGAAAATGCAGATCCATAACTATATTTGGATAACAAATAAGACGGATGAATTTTAAAATACAGATCTAATAACAAAAGTAGATCTACATATCGAAAGTTAGAAGCTTCATTATTAACATTTGTATATATATAAACACATATATAGATTGTTATTAACATTTATATACATATAATCATATTTGTATACATATTACATACATATAGTATACAATATATAGATGGTTATTATATTTATGTGCATAAGAATATATACATAAAGCGTTATTAACATATGAAAAAATATGCAACAACAAAATGCAGATCCATAACTATATTTGGATAACAAAGAAGACGGATGAATTTTAAAATACAGAGCTAACAACAAAAATAGATCTACATATCGAAAGTTAGAGGGTTTGTGGAATATTAAGTAATTTTAAGTTGAAAGGAGAAAACTTAAACAAACTTAAAAACCACCGTTCATGCATGAGGCGAGACGGATCTGGGAAATCAAAAGAAAAAAAAAAAGCAAACTCGACTGGAACAAATCAATAGATAATTCTGGCCATTATTTATATTCGAAGAAAAACGGATTGGTGAACAGTATCACAACATGAATCGCGAAGAATAATAAAACTGATATGAGGAAAGAGACTTCGCTGGCACGGATGAGCGTTTATAGTTAAGAACTGACGGGAAGGCGATGATGGTTTCTTTAAGAATTGAATAGCTTGGATGAGAGATAGATGATGATAACTCATAAATGCGTCTGACACGTATTGTGGCCAAAATGAAGAGCGCGTGAGGTTATTTCAGGAAAGATTGTGGACAAAATATATATGTTGTTTGAGTTTTAAAATAAATTGCAAGAAATTATATTTGGACCAAATCTTCTATTTTACACCTAATTATCTCTTAAACTAATCAAAAATAATGTTTAAATTTTCATAGATAACATAAAAGAATATAATTACATAATTTTTATTAACATTATTTAGTATGTTAGATACCAAATAATAGCATAAACGGTTAATAAGTATGACAAATTATTATCTAAGAACATTTAAACATTATTTTTATTAGTTTAATATATATATATATTGGATTTTCAAAGTAATTTAAAATCATATGATAAAGTAATTTAAAATCACTATACAAAATTATTTAATATTTTAGATAAAAAATAATAACATAAATTTTTAAATATTGAAAACAGATAATTTATATATATTACTCAAATATTTGGATTATTTAAAATACTGTAGAAATATAGCAATAAATATGAGATGGAAATGTAAAACAAATTCTTTGGTTAATTGATTGGATTTGGATTATTTATACAAATAATATTAGATTTTAGAATAATAATAAATAAAATAGACGAACCATTTTTGAACCTAGAATTGTTGTGTAATTGATGCAGTTTTACTGTTTGTAGCGGTTCTAAAGTTTTGTTCATAAATTTGGACTGCTTGTCTTCCATTAATTTTTTATTAATATAAATAAAAACGTATTTTATGAAAGTAAAAGTTGGGAATGGGAGATATGAAAGTGGACGAAGCCGTCCGGTGCTCGATCGGTCTTTTTTGAGTTTTCCATTCATAGAAGTCCAAGAACCGCAAGTGGTTGTCACTCTTTTCTTCACAAATTTGCACCCCCACAATATAATTCACTTTTTCTTTTAAAATATTAGCAGATTAGATTTTAGTTGAATGGTGTTATATATACAGATAATATGCTTTGGTAGACGAACCACTTTAATTCCATCTTTCCATTTAAGGCCTTAATCTCAAAGATAGATGCTCTGTCTTTTGACATATCATGAGGTCAACTTCGTATAACTAACGAAGAAATTTCCAACGAAAATATTACTCTAATCATTTGAGAAGAACCAAGTCGCGGTTAAAAAAAGAAACTAATCTATAACTACCAGAATTTGGATTTAGTTCCCGTAAAAAGATGAACAAAGAAAACATACTTAAATGGAAAACAATCCAAACTAAGTTGGTAATAGAGACTAATATACTTTGAAAAAACGAAAATTAGATATCCGACCAAAATCGGAAGATATTTATATATACAAAAGAACCAGAAAAAATTTCGGTTAATCGGAAATAGTTTTTTCTCTCTAAAAGATAAGGATGTGTTAAAATATAAAAAGCTTTGTGCTGTTAGAAAAAAAAAACTTGAATTCCTTACAATGGAAATCAGATTTCATTTTACTTTATAGGAATTTCCCACGAGCAAGGGAGTGACGTAAGAGTGTTGTGGTTAGTCTTGTAACAAATAAAACAAAATAATAAAGCAAGAAAAAAAAAACATTTAATTGAAACGAAACATATGACCAAAATATTGGTAAATTTGTAATTTCGAAATGTGACTGAAAAAAAAAACGACAAAAGAGACAAACTTTGGACGTGAGGGTCTCTCCGTACGTACACTCACGCAACAACATTCTCTCTCTCAAACCATTTCTTGGCTCTGTTATATCACCAAACCTCTCTCTCTCTCCTCTCCGTATTGTTTCCTTGACTTTACCCTCTCTTCTTCTTCGTTTGTGAAATCGATTCTACACATTACTCTGTTTTTAATCTGATGTTTGGAGAGAGATTCATGGGTTTTGGAGATTTTAACTTCGGACAAGCTTCAGATCATCGTCCTCTTCCTGATTTTGGTTCCGGTGGGCTCTTACAAAGTCTCGACACAAACCCATTTCTGAAGAATCAGTATTACAACAACAGTGTTGAAGCTCTGGATTTGTGTAAAAAGCTTCACAAAATGGGTATCTCTTGTGACATGAGTATTTGGACTAAACCCGAAGAACCGTTCCGGGTCGACCCGGATGATTTTGGGTCTAGAGCTAGAACAACTCTTCATGGGTTTTCTGGGTTCGACCAGAATCTGAATGAAGCTTCCTCTGTTCGTCTGCAAAACAACTTTCATGGAGTTTCTTCTTCTTCAGGAGAGATTAGATTGCTTGGCCATCAAGATTCCTTTAACCCCAACGGATTTGAAGAGATGATGGCTTTTAAGAATCACAGAGACTTTCTCTTGGACCACATGAATGTACCCATTAAGCGTATTTTACCTCCTTGTCACAGAAGCGTCTCTTTAAGCAACGGTCCGTTGATGTTTGAAGGAAATAGGGTTTCTCAAACCCTAGCCGCCATGGAAGGTTCTAGAGCTTCTTATCCAGAAGAGAGTACTCTGATGAGAAGGTATTTGAAGGAAGATGAGCCTAAGATCAATGGTGGTTTGCCTCTGAATCTCGTCTCCATGGTTGAGATTTATGGATCTGTGAACTTAATGGCCAAAGATCAGATTGGTTGTCGAGTTTTGCAGAAACTGGTCGAAGAAGGAACGATTCTTGAAGCTAAGGTTATATTTCATGAGATCATTGATCATGTGGTGGAACTCTCCATGGATCCTTTTGGGAATTACATCGTCCAGAAGCTGTTAGAGGTGAGTGATGAGGAACAGAGAACGTTGATTGTGAGTGTGTTAACGTCAAAACCAAGGGAGCTTATCCAAATCTGTCTCAACACTTATGGGTAAGCTTCTCTCTTTTTATCAACTTTTAGTAAATTTAAAAACCATTGATTTAGTCAACAAGTCCACGAGCTCAATAGAGATGGAGACATTTCATCTTTTGGGGATTAAGATGAAATCTTTCTTGTTTTTTTGAAGAAAATGAAATCTTTGTTGTTTATGGCAATTTTTGAAATCTCTGCATAGTTTGGTATAAGGTTTAGCCATCACTATCACTAAAAGAATGCAATATAGTTTGGTAGAAAATAATGAATTTTGATTTTTACTTTTTGCTGTTTTTGGACAAACCAAAACTGCACACTTTAGGTAGTTACAAGAAATAAAGCTGGGACCTTTGGGATAGAAATCTACTGGTTTATGGGTTTTTGAATTCTGATTTGTGGCTAATGTGTTTATGGATTTAACCAGGACAAGGGTTGTGCAGAAGATGATTAAAACAGTGAAAACAAAGCAACAGATTGCATTGGTGAAGTCAGGTCTCAAACCGGGTTTTCTTGCTCTTGTTAATGATTTGAATGGGAGCCATGTGCTACAGAGTTGCTTGGAGTTCCTTGGTCCTAATGACAACAAGGTTTAGTTCAATCACCATCTTTTGTTTCTTACTTAAGCTTTGATGAATGCTACTAACTATGCTGATATTGCTGTCACATATATTAATCTCCTTATTTTGTGTCAGTTTGTGTTGGAAGCAGCTACAAAGTACTGTTCTGAGATTGCAACTCATCGCCACGGATGCCGTGTGCTTCAATGCTGCCTTATAAACACTGTTGGACCGCAACATGATAGACTCGTCGCTGAGATATTAAGAAACTCACATCATCTTTCACAGGATCCTTTCGGGTAAAATTCATATCTAGACTGTATACTCAAAAAAAGTTTCTTATGATGCATTGATTTAGTTTGAAAAACTCTCTTTATGGTTTGTGGAAATGGGCAGGAACTATGTGGTGCAGTGCCTAATAGAGCAACAAGTTTCTGCAGTGAACTTGCTGGTTCAATTTAAATCGCATTATGCCGAGCTAGCAACTCAAAAGTTCAGTAGCCATGTGATTGAGAAGTGTCTAAGAAAGTATCCAGAGAGTCGAGCTGAGATTGTTCGCGAGCTCCTCTCTATTCCAAACTTTGAACAGCTTCTGCAGGATCCTTATGCAAACTATGTGATCCAAACAGCTCTCTCTGTAACCAAGGTAAGTCCAAAAATATGCATAATTTCTACAACCAAAAGCTTCCAAAAACAGAGTTTGACATTGGTTTTGGGGTTGGTTAAAACAGGGAGCTGTTCGAGCTAGATTGGTGGAGAAAGTTTATAGGTTTGGGAATCTACAGTCGAGTCCTTATTGCAAGAAGATTTTCTCCAAGACCATCATGAAGAAGTGACTTTTATTAATAACCAAAAATTGTTGTTGTTGTTGTAAGATCGGATAGGGCTTTAGAGAAAACAATGCCCTTAATGTTTTTGTTGTTGGTCTCCCTTTTTGTAGTGAAAACAACTTTTGTCAAACCAGAACTACTTGCTAGTCTGTGTTTTAGGCCAATGCTCTTTATATATATAGTATAACTTAAGAGACCACAATAGTTCTCTCTGTCTCTTCTTTTGAATTATTTGGGAACTCAAAACACACAATCGAAAGTATCAAACAAGGTTTTGGAAAAACAAAATCAAAAGATGTAAAACTCATAGAGAAATAGATGAGAAAACAAATGTTTCAAAATGAATGGAACAAGAACAATAGAAGCATTAAGATTGATCAATAAAATGAATTGCATGTACGAAGAAGTTAAATAATACACTTAACAAGATAGTGAAAGAGATTTTGATTTTAAACGATGAGAGCATTTAGAAATCCATTGGGGATGATGTCTATAAAGTCTTGTCTATTCAGAATAGTTACTTTTTATTAATGACAAAAAAAGTAACGAAAATGAATATCAAGAGTCTTTTGAAGTCATCATTATGGAGAAAACTATGAGTTAAATCACCTTTTTAACTGCCAATCAGATTTAAGCATTATCTTTATTTTATTTCTGTTTCCAAGACTCATTATTACTTTCTGTTTTCAATAAAAATCTAATCATGTTTTTAAATACATATCCATGGAAAAAAATCATACAACTTTCTAATAATAACGATGTGATATGTTGAAAAGGTGATTTAACTCATAATTTTCTCTATAATGATAACTCATAAAACAAAATTAATATGATGGGTGAAAGAATAGAAAAAATAAAAGAGATTATATATTGTAAATTTCATTATTAGTTTTACGATGAAATCAGAATCTAGTTTTGTAATCCTTGGCCACTTAAAGTACTATCGGAACTTTAGTGATACATATTTCAGTTTATACTTTATTAGATTGGTGATTGCTTCCTTTAGTGGGTGTCAACTGTCAAGCAACAGTACAAACGAATTTAAAATCAAAACATGACTATTTAGGGTCTACATACTCGGTTATTGTTGGTTAAGTTTTGGAATCGATTTAGTTGTTGTGTTTAATAACAAGTTCAATTTTTTTTAATAGTTCATTTTTATTTATGATAAGAAAAAGTGATGAAAAGTAGAAAATAAATTTTTAAAAGATTTTATGAAATCATAATTATGGAAAACTAAGGGTTAAATCACCTTTTCAATTGTCAACTTATTCAAAACATTATTATTTTTATTTCTCTTTCCAAGACTCATTATTACTTTTAAAGTTCTATACAAAGTAATAATCTTCATTTATAAATAAGAGTTATATGTGTGTATTTTTTTTAAATCTCTTATATTTTGAAATAGAGGGAGTAATAATTAACGTGGTTGATGAAAAGACTAAATAAAATAGATTATATATTGTAAATCACATGTCAAGTTTTCCGATGAGATTATAGAATCCAATTAGCTTCCAGGAGTGAGGAGTGACGTAAGAGTGGGTCTTAATAAAAAATCTTTTTCTTCAAATTTTGAAGCACCAATAAACAATGAATTAAATAACAAAACATGAATGAGTCCATATATCTTGTTATGAATGAGTCATTGTTGCTAGCTTTTGATTCGATTTAGTTGTTTTATTAAAGAATTTTTGTACAACTCATTTAAACTTAAAATTTTATAATTCTTATGTTTCATTATAAATGATGTTTACATGTTTTTGCACATAATTTAATAAATCATAGAAATTTCATTTAATTTTTAAATTTTACGCAAAAATTTCATTAACTAAAACTAAGTCAACTAATAAAAAAATATTGCAAATATAAATGGTTATACAATTTAGAAACCAAAATCAAATTTCTAAAACATCAAATAAAGTGTAACGGAGGTAGTAATAATATATTTAAAGAGATGAGCAAATAGATTGTTTAAACAATGATAATTTTTAGAAATCCATAGAGAATGAAATCTATATAGTCTACCAAATTTTGTGCCTAATAAAAAGTTCAAAAAATCTTGGGTATTTGCCTTTAATGTACGGATAAAAAAAATAACAGAAATAAATATCAAGAGTCTTTTACATAGAAAATTGAAAATAACATTTAAAATGAAACCAAAACATTAAAATTTCTAAAACATCGATTAAAGTAAGACAGATGAAGTAATAATATATTTAACTATATGAGTAAACATAATTTTTGAACAAGAAAAACGTTTAGAAACCCATAGATAATGAAATATATCTAGTTTAGTCCATTTTGTGCCTAAGAAAAAGTTCAGAAAATCCAATAGTTGTCTTTACTTTACGGCTAAAAAAGTAAAAAAAAAAATGAATATCAAGAGTCTTTTGAAGTCATCATTATGGAGAAAACTAAAAGTTAAACCACCTTTTCAACTTCCCTTTTGATTTAAACATTATTTCTTTTTCCAAGACTCATTATTACTTTGAGTTTTCTATATATCTATATAAATCCTTATAAACCTTGATAAACTTAATAATTTATGTAGGTTGGTTTATAAAATATTTAATTAATCTTTATAATCGGGGACTAATTGGTAGTAGGGCTTTTAGGATTGTAGGGGCTTTAATAACTGTTATAATTTGGTTTTAAAAACCTTACAAAAACTTGATAATTTGCGTTTTATGTTGGTATATAAATCTTAACAAACTTTATAAAACCTTCTAAAAAGTTATACAAATTGGTTTATAAAACTTTATAAGAACTCAATTAATTGCTCAAAACTAATGACCTAAACTTTGATATCATATTACTTGCTAGCTCAACCAAACGCTAAGGACTAGGAGTAGGAGCATCAATTCATAGCCTGGGGTTCTTCAAATGAGATTCTACATGATAAAAATGAGCATGCTCATTCTACTATAATCAGCCATAGAGAATAAAAATTGATTTATCATCACAAAGTGAGACGCTATAATTTCATGCTGATGCATCAACTACATGCACACACAAAAAAAAAGAGAGTAGAATGATCAAAGTAGAAATTGAATATAAAATTCATTACCCCAATTAATTGGTGGACCTTCATCAATGCCAAAGAGATGTGTTATGTATGTGTAACACATAAACAAGTAACCAAAGAGATAAACTATGTTTTATCAATTTTCTAGTCTAATTCATCATCACCTTAAGGTCTTTAAATACACAAAATAAAACCACTGATCTAAGGAGGGAATATATATGTCTTATCAATTATTATTGAAACAATGAAATGATTCTTCTTTTCTTCATAACCGAGTCTCTCCGGTTCAACAGGTGTGTTGTTGTGGTTTAGTTTTCTTGATCGAGTCATTTAGTTCGCATCACCAATCTTCTCATTACACAAAAATATCAAATGTAAAATTCTTTACCCCAATCTTCTCTTTGCTTACGCGAAGAAACCACATGATTATCATATGAACGAGAAAGGCAAAAAATCGAGCCAGCGAGAATCAAAAACAATTCCCACCAATAAAGAGAGAAAGTTTGCAAGCTTAGACATAAATCACCAAAAACTAAGCCAATATATGTAATCACTACAGTGAAGGCCGATTAAAAACGCATCTTGATCTAGAAATCCATATATGAAAACATTAAACTTATCCTCGATCAACAAAGAAAATAAATCTTTAAGAGGGAAGGAATGAAGAAGAAAACAGAGAGATTAAAAAGAAAAGAAAAATGATAGAAATAAATATTATTAGTCGCTTTAAAATCATCATCATGTAGAAAACCAAAAGTTGGATCACCGTTTCTAACTCTAAATTTGATTAATGCATTATATTTACTTTATTTCACTTTTTAAGACTCATTATTATCTTGTAAACAAAAAATATATATTATTTATTTCAAAAAAATAGATGAAAGAAGTGATAAGAAAAATATAGAACAAAATAAACTATTAAAAACCCCAGAGAAAATTAAATTACTTTTTTTTTGGTAGGGAGAGAAAATTAATTACTAATGTGTTTAATTGTTAAAAAGAAATAAATAATTAATGTGACCGATATAGAATAGACTTTAAAAAATCTATATTTTAAAAAATCTCACTATTCAAAACATGTTATGTTATAACTTGACATTTCTCCAATTATCTTACGATGGAAATCTGATTTCAGTTTTATACTTTATAGGATTTTCCCAGGAGCGAGGGAATGACATAAGAGAATTGCATTTAGGCTGCAGCAAAAAAAAACAATAATAAAGCAACAAAAATTTATAAAAGAAAACAAACCAAAAATGAAAAGTAACACATGACCAAAAATAAAAAGGGACAAATTTGTATTTTCCTAATATTTCTCGGCAGCAGGCTTCAACATTAATGGCGAAATGTGACAGTAAAAACGACAAAGAGACAAACACAGCCTTTGGAATTGGACGTGAAGGTCTCTCCGTACGTACACTCACACTACAACATTCTCTCTTTCAAACCATTTCTTGGCTCTTTTATATTACGATCCTAACGAGTTGCAAATACCAACAAGTTAAATGATATTTTTAACAACAAAAAAAACAAGTTAAATGATACATGTAACAAAATAATTAAGGAGATTTTAAACAATGAAAGCATTCAAAAATCTAAAGGGAAGATGTCTCTTAAGTTTAATCCATTTAATAATAGCAAATAAAGTAACGAAAATGAATATCAAGAGTTCTTTCAAGTTTTCATTTTGGAAAAAAACAAGAGTTAAATCACATTTTCAACCCTCAACTCATTTAAGCATATCTTTATTTTATGTTTCTTTCCAAGACTCATTATTACTTTTAGTTTTTTTATACAACCTAATATTTTCTTTTAAATATAATTTATATTAAATAAGATTATCAAATTCTTAAGTAAAAATATTTTTGTCATAATGATGATTCAAAAGAAATGAAAAAAATAACAATGTGATCTGTTGAAAACAAAAAAATACAGATTAAATAATTTTATAATATATGAGAAAATAGCCATCTAACAAAATACAAAGAAAATACATAAATCAGGTAAATATAAAATATTGATGTGTTTAAACAGAATAAAAAATGTGATATGATGAAAGACTAGACTAAATAAAATAGAATATACTAAATCTCAGTATTAAGTTTACAATGAAATCCGAATTTAGAATCCAATTACCTTCCTAGGACTCTAGGAGTAAGGGGTGACATAGGAGTGAGTCTTAATAATAACTTTTCTTCTTAACTAATGTTTAAAGTTTTTGCACACAAATTAAGCAATTATATAAACTATATTTAATTTATATTTTTATGCAAAAACAACATTAACTAAATATAAGTTAACTATTAAGAAAAGTATCTTGGTCAATAGTAAAACAATCTTTTTTAAAACATCAATTAAATATAACAGAGGGCGTACGTAATAATATACTTAACTCCGTAAAAAAATTCTTTTAAACAATAAAACATTTAGAAATCCATTGGAAATGATGTCTATAAAGTCTAGCCAATTTTGGGCCTAATAATAAGTTCAAAAAGTCCAGTTGAGTTGTCTTTATTTATGAATAAAAAAATAAATATCAAGAGTCTTTTGAAGTCACCATTATGGAGAAAACTATGAGTTAAATCACATTTTCAACTCCCAATATGATTTAAACGTTATTTTGATTTTATTTCTCTTCCAAAGACTCATTGGGTCTGAGTGGTTTAGGTTTAGAGGAAACATAAAGAATTAAAAAAAAAAGTTACTAAGAGTAAACTAGTAGAAATTTATTTTTACTACTAATTTTGAGTTGAATAATTCTTCTACTTTTTGAGAAATAAAAAGAAATTACTTTTATTTCATTTTCTTTTGACTGTTAGTTTTTAACATATGTTAGAAGATTTTGTTTTCTACTATATACATCAACCAATCAGACCCATTATTACTTTCTTGTTTCTTTACAAACCAATCTTTTTCTACAAATACCATACCCAAAAAATACAAATAAAAGAGAAGTAGTGTCAATTGGTTTTGAGTTTTGAGTTTTGAGTTTTGACGGTGCCCATATGGACCATTCGTGCGGATTTTTTTTTAATGGGCTATGAATTCGTTAGTTCAAATAGACAACACAAAAATATATAACGTACCCAAAGATGATCATGTCCAAATGGACGTCTACAAGATGCCCACATTTTTAACCTTCTCGTTGGTTTATAGCCTCTCAAACTCTCTATGCAACTCAAGGAATGTTTATCTGAAGCCACACAAACTCACATTAGAAATTATAATAGATTTAAGAGAGAACAATACAATTAGATGTACCTATTTGTCGTCGCCAAATTAGCTTGTGCGAAGAAACCCAATTTCGATATCTTTAAAGAGTTCATAAATAGTGAAGAAGAAAGTCAAGGTTTAATAATGCTTTATATGGCCCAAGCCTCTGTGGTCTAGTGGCAGAAGAAGCTTTGGTGAAGGGTGAAACTCCCAGACCCGAGTTCGATTCTCCCTGGAAACAAAAACACATTTGTTTGGGAAGTCTGTCAGTTGGGCCTTGGCCCAATTGGTTTACCTGGTAGTCAGAAATGCAGGCGGCCTGACTACCCCTGGCATTAGTCGGAAGGCATTCCAAACTCGGATCAGGCAGTGTGGTGGCCCAATTCTACCTGGATCGGGAGAAGTCCACTCTGTAGCACCTCGGTGCGTTCCTACCGAGGCCGACCGGATCAGCCGATAGGGTTTATCAAAAAAAAAAAATAAAAAAAAAAATAAAAAAAAAAAATGCTTTATATGTGTTTAGATACAGAGTGTGAAGCTTTGAGGGAAAATGTAGAATAATCGAAAGATTTGAAAAAAATAGATAAATATAAATTATAATGGCACATATTTAGTGAAAATTGTTTCTTGAAAATAAACTCTAAAATTAATTTTTTTCCTACCCCATTTGACCATTCGGATTTGGACTAAAACCCGAATCAAAACATGATTATTAGAGTCTACATATCTCGGTTCAGCTATATTGGTTATTATTGGTTTAGCTTTAGAATCGGTTAAGTTTCTTAATTTAAAACAAAACAAATAAGAGAAATTTTAAAGAATAGAAAAACAAAAGGACCAAAATAAAAAGGGGGGCAAAACTGTAAATCCAAATAATTCCTCGGCAGGCTGCAAAAAGCAGTGTTTGAGGCTCTGTTACCATATTAATGGCGAAAAAACGACAAAAGAGACAAACACAGCCTCCGTACGTACACACCCACACCAACAACAACAACATTCTCTCTCTCACAAACCATTTCTTGTTATATCACCAAAACCTCTCCGTATTGTTTCCTTGGCTTTACTCTCTCTTCTCTCTCTTCTTCTTCTTCGTTTGTGAAATCGGTTTCTACACTTTCCTCTGTTTTTGATCTAATGTTTGGAGAGAGATTCATGGGTTTTGGAGGTTTTCATGGAGATTTCAACATCGGACGAGCTTCAGATCATCGTTCTCTTGGTTCTGATGGGTTCTTAAGGAGTCTCGACACAAACCCATTTCTGAAGAATCAGTGTTACAACAACAAGAGTGTTGAAGCTCTGGATTTGTGTAAAAAGCTTCACAAAATGGGTATCTCTTGTGACATGAGTATATGGACCAACCCCGAAGAACCGTTCCGGGTCGACCCGGGTGAGTTTGGGTCTAGAACTCTTCATGGGTTTGATCAGAATCTGAGTGGAGCTTCTCAGATTCATGATGGGTTTCGTAACTTTTCCTCTGTTCGTCTGCAAAACAACAACTTTCATGGAGTTTCTTCTTCTCCAGGAGAGATGAGATTGCTTGGCCATCAAGATTCCTTTAACACAAACAGATTTGAAGAGATGATGGCTCTTAAGAATCACAGAGATTATCTCTTGGACCATATTAACGAACCCATAAAGCGTTCTCCTTTTCTCAGAGGCAACGATGCTTTCAACGGTTCGTTGATGTTTGAAGGAAATAGGGTTTCTCAAACCCTAGCCGCCATGGAAGTTTCTAGAGCTTCTTATCTAGAGGATAGTTCTCTGATGAGTCCGTTTCACGAGATGAGAAGGTATTTCAAGGAAGATGAGCCAAAGTTCACTACTGGTTTGCCTCTGAATCTAGCCGCCATGGAAGGTTCTGGAAAACTTGGAGCTTCTTATCCAGAGGATACTCTAATCAGTCCAAAGAGCAGTATTGTTTTGCCTTTGCCTATGAATCTCGTCTCTATGGTTGAGATTTACGGATCTGTGAACATAATGGCCAAAGATCAGATTGGTTGTCGAGTTTTGCAGAAACTGGTCGAAGAAGGAACGGTTCTTGATGCCAAGGTTATATTTCATGAGATCATTGACCATGTTGTTGAACTCTCCATGGATCCTTTTGGGAATTACATTGTCCAGAAGCTGTTAGAGGTGAGTGATGAGGAACAGAGAACGTTGATTGTGAGTGTGTTAACGTCAAAACCAAGGGAGCTTATCCAAATCTGTCTCAACACTTATGGGTAAGCTTCTCTCTTTTTATCAACTTTTAGTAAATTTGTTTCATTAATTTAGTCAACGAGCTCAATAGAGATGGAGACATGTCATCTTTTGAGGATTAAGATGAAATCTTTCTTGTTTACTTGAGGAAGATGAAATCTTTTCTGTTTATGGAAATATTTGAAATCTCTGCATAGTTTGGTAGCCATCACTATCACTAAAAGAATGCAACATTTGGTAGAAAAGAATGAATTTTCATTTTTACTTTTTGCTGTTTTTGGACAAACCAAAACTGCACACTTTAGGTAGCTACAAGAAATAAAGCACCTTTGAGCAAAACCCTTTAAATCCGCTTATTTTTGATTTCAAAAAGCTGAGACCCTTTAAATTTGCTGGTTTTGCTTTGTGGATGATGATTTGTGACTAATGTGTTTTGAATTTAAACAGAACAAGGGTTGTGCAGAAGATGATTGAAACAGTGAAAACAAAACAGCAGATTGCATTGGTGAAGTACGGTCTCAAACCGGGCTTTCTTGCTCTTGTCAAAGATCTGAATGGCAACCATGTGATACAGAGTTGCTTGCAAACACTTGGCCCTAATGACAACAAGGTTTAATAGATGTCTCATCGTTTGGTTCATACTTAAGCTTTAATGAATGTTGTGAAATTTGTTGTTAGTTTGAAATGGAAGCAGCTACAAAGTAATGTGTTGAGATTATTGTCACATATTAATCTCCAGATTTTGTTTCCTACTTAAGATCTCATTAATGTTGTGAATTTTGGTGTCAGTTTGTGTTAGAAGCTGCTACAAAGTACTGTGCTGAGATTGCTATTCATCGCCACGGATGCTGTGTTCTTCAATGCTGCCTTTCAAACTCTGATGGACTGCAACGTGAGAGACTCGTCGCTGAGATATCAAGAAACGCACTTCACCTTTCTCAGGATCCTTTTGGGTAAATTTAATCTCCTTAGACTCTAAGATTTTTTCTCTTATGATGATTTGGTATAGTTTGAAAAACTCTCCTTATGGTTAATGAAATTTGGCAGGAACTATGTGGTGCAGTACTTAATAGAGCAACAAGTTTCTGCGGCGAAGTTGCTGGTTCGGTTTAGAATGCACTACGCCGAGCTAGCGACTCAGAAGTTTAGTAGCCATGTGATTGAGAAATGTCTAAGGAAGTATCCAGAGAGTCGAGCTGAGATCGTCCGCGAACTCATCTGTGTTCCAAACTTTGAATATCTTCTGCAGGATCCTTATGCGAACTATGTGATCCAAACTGCTCTCTCTGTTACCAAAGTAAGTCCAAATCAATACATATTTTATAAGCTTTCAGAAACAGAACTTGACATGGCTTTTGGGGTTAACGCAGGGAGCTGTTCGTGCTAAATTGGTTGAGAAGGTTTACAGGTTCGGGAAACTACGGTCGAGCCCTTACTGCAAGAAGATTTTCTCCAAGACCATCTTGAAGAAGTGACTTTAATTAGTAACTAAAAAATTGTTGTTGTTATTTTGTGTTTCAAGATCGGATAGGGCTTTAGAGAAAAGAATGCCCTTAATGTTTTTGTTGTTGGTCTCCCTTTTTGTAGTGACAACAACTTTTGTCAAACCAGAACTAGTTGTTAGTCTGTGTTTTAGGCCAATGCTCTTAATATATATATATAACTTAAGAGACCACACAGGTTCTCTCTCTTTCGCATTATTTGGGAACTCAAAACATACAACAACAACAACAAACAAGGTTTTTGAAGAAAGAAAATCAAATGATCAGAAACTCATCAAAGAGAAAGAGAGAGAGAGATGAGAGAAAACAAAGCTATATAAGCTTATGTTTCTCTGTGGAGGATTGATTGATTAAGCATCATCTTCACCGAGAAGTGCGACAAGCATCTTCTCGTAATCTCCACGAGTGTCTTTGGTAATGGCTTTCTCCAAAGGAATGCTGTTCCTGCGCTGGTACTCCTCTCCAATGACCTTCAAGTCAATCTCAGCTCTTGTGGTCACAATTCTAGTGAGAGCTCCTTCATCGGTTCCAGTTTTGTTGATTGCTGAACGAAGAACATCAACAAAGTAAAGCTCTGGTCTTGTCAAGCACTGAATCGTTGACCTCAACAGTGCAAGGAACTTGTCATCATCATCTCCTTCCTCAAGACTCTTGAGAATTTCCTCGCCATGATCATCTTGGTAACGGTTAAAAGTAGCATTGATCTGAGCTTTGCTCCTTGTGGACAAAATCCTAATAACATCCTCATCGTTGTACTGCTTGTCCTTGATTTTTTCATGGACCAGCTTAGCCTCTTGCTTAGCCAATGTCATGTTCACTTCATCTCCTTCGTACCTGTATGAGGTAACAAGAGAAACCAAAAGCTTTCTGAAGTCACCGGTAGTGTGGTGAGCGACATCCTCTTCAAGAGACTTCTTGTAGCGAGCATGGTAAGCTTGCCTAGCGTGAAGAAGCTGCGTTGAGGTTCTTGTGCAGGCTACTTCCATAAGCACTTGGTTACTTGAAGTCCATCTTTTTGTAGCTTCATTAGCCAATAAAGCATCACGCTCACCGGGTTCAAGAGTCCACAACAAGATAGCTCTCTGTCCATGACCAAAAACCAATTAAGATACAATGACTTAACACAGATTTTATAAGTCCCCATACTTAAAAGTCCGAAACCGAACCTCGAAGTCGTTAGAGAGTTCCTTGTCAAGAGTCTTGAGAAGGTCTTCGCCGTAGGTTTCATGGTATGCTTGCCTGATCACCTTCCTCTGTTCAGCACTTCTGTGAGCCAAGATTGATATGATCAAGTCCTCGTTCGTACCCCATCCTGCGAAAACCACGAATAAAGATTCACTTTCTATAAGCATCAAAGTCACATACTTCAGATCCAAGAAAGTCACACACTGCAGATCCATAACAACAGAACCGATCAAACCGATTCAAAGTATAAATCTCAAGATCTTAGTGTTGGATTACAAAGAACTACATTATAGATCTAGATTAAGAAGACAGATCTGTGACTGTGAGAATCAAAACACAACCCAATCAAGATCTCGTGTGAATGTAAATCATTGTCATTATCAACATGATCAAACAATCAAAACATCAATCTCATTAGAGAAAGGAGAAACCAAAACAGGATCAAATCACTATAAACACGAAAGATTGTTCTAGATCCCACAAAGAAAGGAGATCATTGTCACTGATCCGATCCATGAAGGAACAAGTTCGATCGACATGACTACATGAACAACCAACAAACAGATCATCTCACAAAACACTACCGACACAAACATCGATCGGATCGGAGTAAAACCAACCTCGATCCACATCGAAGCCATTAAAACAGATGATCATACAATAACCCACCAAATCATAAACAACAGATTCGTTATATTTACGAAAGTGATCATGTACACAAGAAGATAACAATAGATCAACAAAAACAGAGAACAAGAATTATAAAACTACCTTCAAAAGCGGTTCTCAGTTGCTCAGCATCCTCAGAAGGAGCAGGAACAGAATCAGAAACCTTAAGAGTCGCCATTTTTTTCTTTGCAAGTTCTTGTTTCTACTTAGTGTGTATATGTTGAGAGTCGAAGCCGACACAAGATTGACTTATAAAGGGAAAGGCTAAGAGGTTTAGGACACGACGTGGCCTGTCCGTATATACCAAAATATCCCAAACGAATTATTAATTCTTCTGCCACGTATTTGTTACACTTTATGAATTATTTTATTTTTATTATCCGCATTTGCTTAACTTTATGCGCAAATCATGATTTCACAGCAAACTATCGTAATCTCGCATTAACGGTTTGATTGGTTGTCACAAAATCATTCACAATATTATACGCGTTCGGATTTAGTTTTGTATAATCCATTTTGTATTATTTAAGTCTGTAAGATTTTTTTTTTTATCACTTGCAAACGTGTTGTCCATTAGGAGTTTAGGACTCATTACAAAAAACAAAAAAAACGTATTTATATCTTTATAAATGTCCTACTCTGCATAAGAAAATCTCCTACTACTTCTGGCGATTTACATATAGACAGTAGTATAAATATTAATTTAATTTATACAATATTACCATATCTTTTACTAAATAAATACCAAATTTTGAAAATTTCAGAGAAAGTTTGCCCAAAAGAAAAAGTTCAAAGACAATATTATAAATATTAGAATATTAATTTTATTACATACAATACCTTTTACTAAATAAATAACAAATTTTGAAAAGTTCAGAGATTCTTTCTTGTGAAAAAAGATATAGGTAAATCAAGTGAGTTATTTTTGTCATTTAGTAAATCCACATTAGTCATAACTCATAACTTTAAGTTATAGTAGCATAAATCAAATGTTTGATCACAAAATGAATCTGTTTGGGCTAAAATTGTCACTCAGATTCGGATAAAATCATGTGATTTTTGTTTAGACGAATCATGTAGAGTTAATTTATTTCATATTATAGTCTCTTGAAACCAATTTTAAAAGTGTTTGAACATCTTATAAAAGTTTTTTTTTTTGATAAACCCTATCGGCTGATCCGGTTGGCCTCGGTAGGAACGCACCGAGGTGCTACAGAGTGGACTTCTCCCGATTCAGGTAGAATTGGGCCACCACACTGCCTGATCCGAGTTTGGAATACCTTCCGACTAATGCCAGGGGGTAGTCAGGCCGCCTGCATTTCTGACTACCAGGTAAACCAATTGGGCCAAGGCCCAACTGACAGACTTCCCAAACAAATGTGTTTTTTGTTTCCAGGGAGAATTAAACTCGGGTCTGGGAGTTTCACCCTTCACCAAAGCTTCCTCTGCCACTAGACCACAGAGGCTTGGGCGATCTTATAAAAGCTAGGTAACTTGTCTACGTTAGTAGTATGAGAACACTTACCAATGAATGGTTTGATGGTCATGGAGTGTTAGACTTTGCTAGGTTTAGCCATTTAACGTTTATCTTCTTACTTCCTTAATGATAATGTTACAACCACACAACATATATACTACATTTTATCTTAAACTAACTAATTCATAATTATCTAAGTTTACCAACACAAAATAACCCATTAACATTGGGCCTTATGCAACATGGCCCAAAGTCTTTTTCTTCTTTCTTCTTCTTTCACACAACTTCTCTTTCTTCTTCCCTTCTTTCCAAAAAAACGATTTTAATTTTTAACTACGGCTGCATTGATAAACACATTTATAATATATAAAAAAGTTTGTTATTTTCTTTACCTCGTCGAAGAAATTGATGAAGATGAGTTCTAAGAAAATGATGTGGAGATTGACAACATTGTTGGCCGTGATTGTGGATCTGCTTGTAAACACGATAAAGCCACTTCCACCATCTTCATGAGCTTCTCTCTATTCTGCCCCCGTGGTTCTGGTATACGTTCATCGGAAATGCTTCTCAGCGACAGAGTTTCTCCCGGAGACGAAGACAAACTCGAAACCAAATCTCCCGGATGTTTCCCCTTTATAACTTCGAGTATCAGAACTCCGAAGCTATACACATCGCATTTCTCCGTCACCTTCATCGTGTAAGCAAACTCTGTTGCAAAAATTTCAGAAACAATCAATTTCAAATTCGAATTTAGGGATTTCAATTTCATTGATTTAGATTTACCTGGAGCGACGTAGCCGTAGGTTCCAGCAACGGCGACCAATTTGATGAATCCGTCTTGAGAAGCTTCGCGGTGCCAAAATCGGAGATCTTAGCTGTGTAATCATTATCGAGAAGGATGTTGCCGCTGCTAATATCACGGTGGACGATCGGAGTTGATCGGTCATGGTGCATATACGATAACGCGTGAGCCACACCTTTCACGATGTTGATCCTTTTGGTCCAAGTGAGTTGCTTAGCTTCTTCTTCGTTGGCTAAGAGTTTGTTTAAACTTCCTTTTTCCATGTACTCGTAGATCAGAAAAGTGTGGCGGCGGTGAGAGCAGAAGCCGAAGAGCTTCACCACGTTGCGGTGACGGATCTCTGTTAACGCTCTTACTTCGTTTAGGAACTCTTGATTCACCACTGGCTTTGATATCTCTTCGTCTACTGTATCATGTAGCCTTTTCACGGCTACGATCGCATCTGGGAGGTTTGCTTTGTAGACTTTGCTGTATCCTCCGCTTCCGATGAGGTATCTTTGATCGAATTCGTTTGTTGATTCGATGATATCTTGGTATTTGAATTTGCCATCAACGCTGAATATGGACATATTCTCTCCAGTTTCAGAATCTGTGTTTCTTCCATTGTGTGGTTTTCGTTTCCGAAGGTAGTAGGTAAATGCGCCTGCACATATAGAGAGAATGACGAGTGCTCCTAGGATTGGCAGTAGTATCCACACAAGAAGGTTGCCGTTCTTCTTCGGCTTTTGGAACCCACCAGAAGTGATAGGGCATGAATTCAACCTTTGTTTAGGAATATTACTGCATAAGCCTCTGTTTCCCTCCAATGCATCTGCTGTTGCGTTTCGAAACGCTGGAATGTCTGGAAGCGGACCCTCGAGTTTATTGTTTGATATATCGATGTACGTCAGCGCTTTCATGCTCTCGAAAGTTGTTGGAATGAAACCCGAGAGATTGTTGTGTGAGAGGTCGAGCTTGTCGAGGCTCTGCAGGGAGCTGAGCTGTGATGGGATTTCTCCGTCGAACTGGTTGTGGCTGAGATCAAGTTGCGTTAACTGAATCAGTTTTGTTAGTTCAGGAATGCGTCCATCGAAATTGTTTCTGCTCAGGTTCATGTCATGAAGCTTTAAAAAGGAGTCGAAGGTTTGTGGGATCTGGGAGCTGAATCTGTTTGAGGATAAGTCAAGAGACTCAAGATTGGTTAAAAAACTTATTCCTGCAGGAACTCTTCCAGATAACTGATTCCCATTAAGTCGTAGCCTCGACAAATTCGTGAGATTTCCAATTGCTTCTGGAAGTTCACCAGAGAGATTGTTGGTAGACAGATCTAGCTCGCCCAGTTGTTTCATGTTCCAAATCTCTGGTGGGATAACACCCGTGATGTTGTTGTTTGACATGATCAAGGCACCTAGCTTTCGACTCTTCTCCCAGTTGCCTGAAATCTCACCGCGGAATTTGTTGTGGCTGAGATCAATGAAGTCAAGATCTGGGTAAATCCCAAAAGCTTCAGAAATATCTCCAGTGAATCCGTTCCCTCTGAATCTTGCTCTTATCAGGGTCTTGCAATCTCTCACCCTTTTCGGGATAGGACCTTCGAGGTTATTATCATCTAAACTGATATTCTGAAGCTTGCCACCTTTGCAAAGGGTTTCAGGCAAGAAACCATTGAAGTTGTTTCTGGCGAGTTGCAATTGAGTTAGCTCTGAAGAGTTTGCTACTCCCGGCGGGATCGTACCAGAGAGGTGGTTATCACGGAGGTACAAAACTTCCAGCTTGGTAAAGTTACCAAAGGAAGAAGGAATTGAACCAGTAAGATTGTTCTGACTTAACGCTAAATCAATCATGGATTCCATGTTGCCTAGTTCCGGGGGAATGACACCAGTTAGATAGTTCTTATAAAGATAAAGAACCGTCAAGTTCTTGAGGTTTCCTAAGGAAGAAGGAATCGAACCGGTGAGTTTGTTCTGACTTAAATCTAAACTGGTCATGGATTCCATGTTGCCGAGTTCCGGGGGAATGACACCAGTTAGATAATTCTGGTCAAGAGAAAGATCCGTCAAGTTCTTGAGATTTCCTAAGGAAGAAGGAATTGAACCAGTAATTTTGTTCTCACTTAAATCTAAACTGGTCATGGATTCCATGTTGCCTAGTTCCGGGGGAATGACACCAGTTAGATAATTCTGGTCAAGAGAAAGATCCGTCAAGTTCTTGAGATTTCCTAAGGAAGAAGGAATTGAACCAGTAATTTTGTTCTCACTTAAATCTAAACTGGTCATGGATTCCATGTTGCCTAGTTCCGGGGGAATGACACCAGTTAGATAATTCTGGTCAAGAGAAAGATCCGTCAAGTTCTTGAGATTTCCTAAGGAAGAAGGAATTGAACCGGTAAGTTTGTTTTTACTTAAATCTAAAGTGATCATGGATTCCATGTTGCCTAGTTCCGGGGGGATGACACCAGTTAGACAATTCTGGTTAAGATAAACATCCGTCAAGTTCTTGAGATTTCCTAAAGAAGAAGGAATTGAACCGGTAAGTTTGTTTTTACTTAACTCTAAATCGATCATGGATTCCATGTTACCTAGTTCCGGGGGAATGACACCAGTAAGATAGTTCTTATAAAGATAAAGAACCGTCAAGTTCTTGAGATTTCCTAAGGAAGAAGGAATTGAACCGGTAAGTTTATTGGTACTTAACTCTAAATCGATCATGGATTCCATGTTGCCTAGTTCCGAGGGAACGACACCAGCTAGATAATTATGGTGAAGATAAAGAAGCGTCAAGTTCTTGAGATTTCCTAAGGAAGAAGGAATTGAACCGGTAAGTTTGTTCTCACTTAAATCTAAACTGATCATAGATTCCATGTTACCTAGTTCCGGGGGAATGACACCAGTTAGATAGTTCTTATAAAAATAAAGAACCGTCAAATTCTTGAGATTTCCTAAGGAAGAAGGAATTGAACCGGTAAGTTTGTTATTGGAAAGAGAGAGGTTCTTGAGGTTTTGCAAATTGCCAAGCTCAGGTGGGATTTTTCTGGTTAAGTGGTTTGTGGAGAGGTCAAAGTAGATGAGTTTAGAGAGGTTTCCGAATTGAGGAGGGATGGTTCCAGAGAAACGGTTCATGCTAAAATCAATGTAAGCAAGGTTTGGGAGAGAAGAGAAGGGGAAATCTTGGAAAGTACCTTCTATAGCATTGTCAGTGAGGTCTAACTCTTCGATACTCCCTCGTGAGTTGCAGGAAACACCATACCAACTGGTGCAGGAAAAGCTAGTATTGGTGTTTGCATCATTGACCCATGAAGACAGCTTTGATGAGTGACTCTGGTTCGTGAAAGTGGATTTCCATTTCAGAAGAGCATTTGCTTCTGCGATAGTTGCAGAAGCTGAAATAGAACAGCTCAAAATTATGGATATGAACAAAAGAAAACGAAGATCATAAGAATTCTTCTCTGCAAAACCCATCCTTACTTACTCTCTCACTCCCTCTTCTCTTTCTCTCTTGGTGTTAGAGAAAGCTATCCAAGTTCTGGCTATTTAATAATCTCTCATGTGCACTCAGTCATTGACTTGGAGTCGTCTCCTTGATAATGAAGGTATAGAAAAGTGGGCTCGAATTACTATTTTACTTTGTGAAATTACGAAATCAGGTATAAAAAAGTGCTTACGGGTTCTTCGTTGAACATTCTGTTGAGTGGATGAATATTGGTCATTGTGTTTTGGAAGATAATATTGGCCAAGAAGACTTGCGAGTCCGTGACGACCGGGTAGTGGTAATTTATTCATCATTAACTATTACTTTTTTTTTTTCCCCACAATTCGCTTGACTTTTGTTTCACGGAAGAAAAACAATCTAATGTAGTCGTATTCAAAAGTTTTTTTTTTTTCTTAGTATACGTTTCTTATAGTCTTCCTCTTTTGTAACAATCTTCAATTTTTTTTTATAGGATTTTAATAGCTCAATTGTGTAGGTTTTTTAATTTTATGGGTAGAATGATAATGGTGTTTAGGGGTATTATTCGATCATGTAATAAAACTTAAATTTATGCACAAGCCGATATTATTCAATTATTTATTATAAATTATGCATTAAAATCTCGTGTTCTTTATTATGATAATTGTAATTTGTAAATCATGCTTTACATTTTTTAAAGTTTTGGTGTTATTCGATTAAAATTTTAAAATATTTCATATTGTTACAAAAGTCATAAAAACAAACGTCAACAATATCAAGCCTCAACAATAGAAGCTTACACGTAAAAAATATTACGAGTAAAATATAATTTGTGTGGAGCCCAAATTACTTCAATTACAAGAGAAGTAATAAACATATCCCTCTCGTCTCTTTATTATTCAGTATCCGATCTTTCAGTGAGTGTAAAATTTCTCTCTTATTTATTATTTATATTCACTATAAAATAAAGTAATTATTTATAACATGTTATCGGCACAATTACTCTATCATCGCTGAAAAAAAAAACAGTATTATACCGGACAATATGTCGCCTAGTTAAAAGAAAAAAAAATGAGAAAAAAAGAAAAAAAGAAAAAACAGTATTATACCGGACAGTATGTCGCAATTATTGATTGTACTTACGGTCTCTTCGTTGGAGAATTTACTCGCGAAGAATTTACCATAAGTATCACTTTATTTTTCTATGCAATTATGTTTTTTGTAATCGCTTGCATCATTAATATAAATATAAATGGCTCAATATAAAAGAAATAATATTATTTTACTAAATTTTTTTTTTCAATTTTGTATTTAGATAACTAATAGCAAACATTGAAAAGCTTATGATTCCAGCTCTAAATATCACTTTGGCTGATTATATATTTTGGATTGCTTACGTCAAAATACATTTACTATCTCTTGGCTCAATGAAAACCATAAAAGAGAAAAATACTTCGACGGTTCAAGAAAATGAAAGATCGGTGATCTTTATTTTAAGACACCTTGATAAAAGTATCATATGTGATTATGCACACATAAAAGCTATACACTCCATAATATTATAAATATTATGAAAATTTCAGAATAACAAATTTTAATTATATACAATATTACTATATCTTTTACTAAATAATTAACAAATTTTGAAAATTTCAGAGAAAGTTTGCCCAAAAGAAAAAGTTCAAAGACAGTATTATAAATATTAGAATATTAATTTTATTACATACAATACCTTTTACTAAATAAATAACAAATTTTGAAAAGTTCATAGATTCTTTCTTGTGAAAAAAAGATATAGGTAAATCATGTGAGTTATTTTTGTCATTTAGTAAAAATCCACATTAGTCATAACTAAAGTTATAGTAGCGTAAATCAAATGTTTGGTCACAAAATGAATCTGTTTGGGCTAAAATTGTCACTCATCAGATTCGGATAAAATCATGTTGTTGATTTTGTTTAGACGAATCATGTAGCATTTAATTTATTTCATTTTATAGTCTCTTAAACCAATTTTAAAAGTGTTTGGACATCTTATAAAAGTTTGAACAATTTGATAGCTAAACACACATTTTACTTGTGTTTTCAAAAAGCTAGGTAACTTGTCTATGTTACTAGCATGAGAACACCTACCAATGAATGGTTTGATGGTCATGGTTGTTAGTAGGGGTGTCAAAATGAGCTAGCTCGCTCAACTCGGCTCAACTCATGATGAGCTCGGACATTTCATGAGCTAGCTCAGCTCAGCTCATTTATTAGATGAGCTTCAATATATAAACTCGGACTCAGATCATCTTGGTCGCGAGTTAAATGAGCTAGCTCGCGAGCTCATAACAAATAAATATAACAACAAAAATAATGTAAATTTTTTTAAATAAAATAAAATAAATCCAATAACATAATTAATTCTAAAGTTAAATAATGGAAATAAATCCAAGAAAAAATAACCTCAAAACACAAATTTTCTAATAGAATAATTCTATTTTTGTTTAATTTAAATGGAAAGATATATATGCTTATGTTGACATTTTGTATATATTTACAATATATATATATATATATTTGTAAAAAAAGCCGAGCTCATGAGCCAGCTCATGTTCATTAAAGCTCGCTCATATAACTCGCGATCTAAAAAAAGCTCGATCATATAACTCATATATTAAATGAGCCTAAAAAACAGAACTCGTGCTCATGAAAAATCGAGCTGAGCTGAGCCAGCTCATGAGTTACGAGCTCATTTTGACACCCCTAGTTGTTAGACTTTGCTAGGTTTAGCCACTTAACGTTTATCCTCTTACTTCCTTAATGATAATGTTACAACCACACAACATATATATACTACATTTGATCTTAACCTAACTAATTCATAATTATCAAAGTTTACCAACACAAAATAACCCATTAACATTGGGCCTTAATGCAACATGGCCCAAAGTCTTTGTCTTCTTTCTTCTTCTTTCACACAACTTCTCTTTCTTCTTCCCTTCTTTCCAAAAAAAATGATTTTAACTACTGCTGCATCGATAAACACATTTATAATATATAAAAAAGTTTGTTATTTTGTTTACCTCGTCGAAGAAATTGATGAAGATGAGTTCTAAGAAAAAGCTGTAGAGATTGATAACATCGTTGGCCGAGATTGTGGATCTGCTTGTAAACACGATAACGTTACTTCCACCATCTTCATGAGCTTCTCTCTACTCTCCCCCCGTGGTTCTAATAAACGTTCATCGGAAATGCTTCTCAGGGACAGAGTTTCTCCCGGAGACGAAGACAAACTCGCAACCAAATCTCCCGGATGCTTCCCCATTATAACCTCGAGTATCAAAACCCCAAAGCTATACACGTCGCATTTCTCCGTCACCTTCATCGTGTAAGCAAACTCTGTTGCAAAAATTTCAGAAATAATCAATTTCAAATTCGAATTTAGGGATTTCAATTTCATTGATTTAGATTTACCTGGAGCGACGTAGCCGTAGGTTCCAGCAACGGCGGACCAATTTGATGAATCCGTCTTGAGAAGCTTCGCGGTGCCAAAATCGGAGATCTTAGCTGTGTAATCATTATCGAGAAGGATGTTGCCGCTGCTAATATCACGGTGGACGATCGGAGTTGATCGGTCATGGTGCATATACGATAACGCGTGAGCCACACCTTTCACGATGTTGATCCTTTTGGTCCAAGTGAGTTGCTTAGCTTCTTCTTCGTTGGCTAAGAGTTTGTTTAAACTTCCTTTTTCCATGTACTCGTAGATCAGAAAAGTGTGGCGGCGGTGAGAGCAGAAGCCGAAGAGCTTCACCACGTTGCGGTGACGGATCTCTGTTAACGCTCTTACTTCGTTTAGGAACTCTTGATTCACCACTGGCTTTGATATCTCTTCGTCTACTGTATCATGTAGCCTTTTCACGGCTACGATCGCATCTGGGAGGTTTGCTTTGTAGACTTTGCTGTATCCTCCGCTTCCGATGAGGTATCTTTGATCGAATTCGTTTGTTGATTCGATGATATCTTGGTATTTGAATTTGCCATCAACGCTGAATATGGACATATTCTCTCCAGTTTCAGAATCTGTGTTTCTTCCATTGTGTGGTTTTCGTTTCCGAAGGTAGTAGGTAAATGCGCCTGCACATATAGAGAGAATGACGAGTGCTCCTAGGATTGGCAGTAGTATCCACACAAGAAGGTTGCCGTTCTTCTTCGGCTTTTGGAACCCACCAGAAGTGATAGGGCATGAATTCAACCTTTGTTTAGGAATATTACTGCATAAGCCTCTGTTTCCCTCCAATGCATCTGCTGTTGCGTTTCGAAACGCTGGAATGTCTGGAAGCGGACCCTCGAGTTTATTGTTTGATATATCGATGTACGTCAGCGCTTTCATGCTCTCGAAAGTTGTTGGAATGAAACCCGAGAGATAGTTGTGTGAGAGGTCGAGCTTGTCGAGGCTTTGCAGGGAGCTGAGCTGTGATGGGATTTCTCCGTCGAAATGATTGTGGCTGAGATCAAGATGCGTTAACTGAGTCAGCTTTGTTAGTCCGGGAATGCATCCATCGAAATTGTTTCTGCTCAGGTTCACGTCATGAAGCTTTAAAAAGGAGTCAAAGGTTTGTGCGATCTGGGAGCTGAATCTGTTTGAGGATAAGTCAAGAGACTCAAGATTGGTTAAGAAACTTATTCCTGCAGGAACTCTTCCAGATAACTGATTCCCATTAAGTCCTAGCCTTGACAAATTCGTGAGATTTCCAATTGCTTCTGGAAGTTCACCAGATAGGTTGTTGGCAGATAGATCTAGCTCGCCCAGTTGTTTCATGTTCCAAATCTCAGGTGGGATAGCACCCGTGATGTTGTTGTTTGACATGATCAAGGCACCTAGCTTTGGACTCTTCTGCCAGTTGCCTGACATCTCACCGTGTAATTTGTTGTGGCTGAGATCAATGAAGTCAAGATCTGGGTAAATCCCAAAAGCCTCAGAAATATCTCCTGTGAATTTGTTCCCTACAAATTTTGCTCTGATCAGGCTCTTGCAATTTCTCAAGCTTTTTGGGATATGACCTTCGAGGTGATTATAATCTAATGAGATATTCTGAAGCTTGCCACCTTTGCAAATGTTCTCAGGCAAGAAACCGGTGAAGTTGTTTCTGGCGAGTTGCAATTCAGTTAGCTCTGAAGAGTTTGCCACTTCTGGCGGGATTGTACCAGAGAGGTGGTTATCACGGATGTACAAAACTTCCAGCTTGGTAAAGTTACCAAAAGAAGAAGGAATTGAACCAGTAAGATTGTTCTGACTTAACGTTAAATCAATCATGGATTCCATGTTGCCTAGTTCCGGGGGAATGACACCAGTTAGATAATTCTGGTCAAGAGAAAGATTTGTCAAGTTCTTGAGATTTCCTAAGGAAGAAGGAATTGAACCTGTAAGATTGTTCTCACTTAACTCTAAACTGATCATGGATTCCAGGTTGCCTAGTTCCGGGGGAATGACACCAGTTAGATAGTTCTTATAAAGATAAAGAACCGTCAAGTTCTTGAGATTTCCTAAGGAAGAAGGAATTGAACTGGTAAGTTTGTTCTCACTTAAAGCTAAACTGATCATGGATTCCATGTTGCCTAGTTCCGGGGGAATGACACCAGTTAGATAGTTCTTATGAAGATGAAGAACCGTCAAGTTCTTGAGATTTCCTAAGGAAGAAGGAACTGAACCGGTAAGTTTATTGGTGCTCAACTCTAAATCTGTCATGGATTCCATGTTGCCTAGTTCCGGGGGAATGACACCAGTAAGATAATTGTGATGAAGATAAAGAACCGTCAAGTTCTTGAGATTTCTTAAGGAAGAAGGAATTGAACCGGTAAGTTTGTTATGACTTAACTCTAAATTTGTCATGGATTCCATGTTGCCTAGTTCCGAGGGAATGAAACCTGTTAGATAGTTCTTATAAAGATAAAGAACCGTCAAGTTCTTGAGATTTCTTAAGGATGAAGGAATTGAACTGATAAGTTTGTTATTAGAAAGAGAGAGGGTTTTGAGGTTTTGCAAATTGCCAAGCTCAGGTGGGATTTTTCCGGTTAAGTGGTTTGTGGAGAGGTCAAAGTAGATGAGTTTAGAGAGGTTTCCGAATTGAGGAGGGATGGTTCCAGAGAAACGGTTCATGCTAAGATCAATTGAAGCAAGGTTTGGGAGAGAAGAGAAGGGGAAATCTTGGAAAGTACCTTCTATAGCGTTGTCAGTGAGGTTTAACTTTTCGATACTCCCTCGTGAGTTGCAGGAAACACCATACCAACTGGTGCAGGAAAAGCTAGTATTGGTGTTTGCATCATTGACCCATGAAGACAGCTTTGATGAGCGACTCAGGTTCGTGAAAGTGGATTTCCATTTCAGAAGTGCATTTGCTTCTGCGATAGTTGCAGAAGCTGAAATAGAACAGCTCAAAATTATGGATATGAACAAAAGAAAACGAAGATCATAAGAATTCTTCTCTGCAAAACCCATCCTTACTTACTCTCTCACTCCCTCTTCTCTTTCTCTCTTGGTGTTAGAGAAAGCTATCCAAGTTCTGGCTATTTAATAATCTCTCATGTGCACTCAGTGATTGACTTGGAGTCGTCTCCTTGATAATGAAGGTATAGAAAAGTGGGTTCGAATTACTATTTTACTTTGTGAAATTACGAAATCAGGTATAAAAAAGTGCTTACGGGTTCTTCGTTGAACATTCTGTTGAGTGAATGAATATTGGTCATTGTGTTTTGGAAGATAATATTGGCCAAGAAGACTTGCGAGTCCGTGACGACCGGGTAGTGGTAATTTTCCCACAATTCGCTTGACTTTTGTTTCACGGAAGAAAAACAATCTAATGTTGTCGTATTCAAAAGTTTTTTTTTTCTTAGTATACGTTTTCTTATAGTCTTCCTCTTTTGTAACAATCTTCAATTTTTTGTTTAAAGGATTTTCATAGCTCAAATTGTGTAGGTTTTTTAATTTTATGGGTAGAATGATAATGGTGTTTAGGGGTATTATTCAATCATGTAATAAAACTTAAATTTATGCACAATCCGATATTATTCAATTATTTATTATAAATTATGCATTAAAATCTCGTGTTCTTTATTATGATAATTGTAATTTGTAAATTATGCTTTACATTTTTTAAAGTTTTGGTGTTATTCGATTAAATTTTTAAAAATTTCATATTGTTACAAAAGTCATAAAAACAAACGTCAACAATATCAAGCGTCAACAATAGAAGCTTACACGTAAAAAATTTTACGAGTAAAATATAATTTGTGTGGAGCCCAAATTACTTCAATTACAAGAGAAGTAATAAACATATCTCTCTCTCTCGTCTCTTTATTATTCAGTATCCGATCTTTTAGTGAGTATGAAATTTCTCTCTTATTTATTATTTATATTCACTATAAAATAAAATAATTATTTATAACATGTTATCGGTTTAATTACTCTATCATCGCTGAAAAAAAAAACAGTATTATACCGGACAGTATGTCGCCTAGTTAAAAAAAAAAATGAGAAAAAAAAAAAAAGAACAGTATTATACCGGACAATATATCGCAATTATTGATTGTACTTACGGTCTCTTCGTTGGGGGAATTTACTCGCGAAGAATTTACCATAAGTATCTCTTTATTTTTCTATGCAATTATGTTTTTGTAATCGCTTGCATCATTAATATAAATATAAATGGCTCAATATAAAAGAAATAATATTATTTTCCTAATAATTTTTTTTCAATTTTGTATTTAGATAACTAATAGCAAACATTGAAAAGCTTATGTTTCCATCTCTAAATATCACTTTGGTTGATTATATATTTTGGATTGCTTACGTCAAAATACATTTACTATCTCTTGGCTCAATGAAAACCATAAAAGAGAAACATACTTCGACGGTTCAAGAAAAGGAAATATCGGTGATCTTTATTTTAAGACACCTTGATAAAAAGTATCATATGTGATTATGCACACATAAAAGATCCCAAAGAGATCTAGGAATCCTAAAAGATCGATTTGATAATCGAAAGGCCATAAATCTCCCACATGTTCGGGATGAATGGCAATGTCTAAAATTCAAAGATTTTGACAAAGTAATGAATTATAATTCCGCTATAATGGAAATTGTGGTTAAACTAAAATATTATGGTGATATTATCACCGATTCTTAGATGTTTGAGAAAACATATGCCACATTTCATGAAAACCAAATTACCCAGCGAGTACTATATATGTCGTCAGCCCCGGCCCAATATATTTGGGAGCCTTAGGGCAAAATTTTTTTTTTTGGCATAATATTATATATAAAAAGAAAATTTACTTAATTTTTTAAAAAATTGCAGATTTTTTATAGTGAAAATTGTTATTTTAAAATTTTTGGGCCTTTTTATACATTTTCTTATAAAGAATTAGGTCTCTTGAAATATAATTCTCACATTAATAATATTTTTAAAAAATATTTGGGCCTTTTTTACATGTAAAATTGTTTTTAAAAAAAAAAGCTCCAGGTCGTCGCACCTCCTCCCACCCCTCTAAGCCGGGGCTGTATGTCGTGCGAGTGCACCAAATTCTCGGATTTGTTTGTGGCACTTCTAATAGCGGAAAAGATTAATTTGACCGCTCATCGGATAATTAAAATGCTTGTAGTGACTACTAGTCTCCAATAATATTATTATATAAGTATTATGTATTTTAGTTGTTTTAAAATAATGTTGTTTCTTTTTTTTGTTTTGTGCACCAAAATCTTTTTTTTTTTTTTTTTTTTTTTTTCAAAATCTTATATCAAACTAGAAAGATACAAGAGGATTAGGCATATTTGGACAGACCCGAATAGCAAACTTGGAAAATAAAGTACAAACACAGACATAAATTAAACATAGAGACACAAGCTCGACGGAGATAGATAGGGTACCAGGAGAAATGTCAAACCAAACTATCACGAGCATGCCCATGAGAGAAAACACATTCAACACATAATCATCAACTGGTAAAGATATAGTCACCAAACAATGTGACGTTAAGACGAAATTCGAACCTACAAATGTGGTTCTAGGCTTGACACAACCTGGATCTGCCGCAAACGCAGATATGGAGACGTCGGTGAAGTATCTGATTGATAGGGTACCAGGAGAAATGTCAAACCAAACTATCACGAGCATGCTTATGAGAGACACATAATCATCAACTGGTAAAGATATAGTCATCAAACAATGTGACTTTAAGACGAAATTCGAACCAACAAATGCGGTTCTAGGCTTGACACAACCTGGATCTGCCGCAAACGCAGATATGAAGACGTCGGTGAAGTATCCGATAAACAAACTTCGTCGGAAAAAGGCAAAATCTGAACTAGAAGAAGTTGGAGAAGTATCCAGTGAAGAGGCCGGAGAAGTATCCGCTGAAGTCGCCGAAGAAGTATCCTATGACGCGAGGGACGAAGGCGGCTTGGTGGAGAGGCGGAGGACGACAGACACAAACAGTAGTATGGTTCTCGCTAGCCAACTAGGGCACTCCAAAATCATTCTTTCATTGGGTCAAAGGCTAAACAGGCCCACGAAGATGATAATCTTATGACTGCACCAAGAAGAATAAATAATGGGCCAGGCCCAACAAGATAAGATCAACGGAGGGGCCACCGGAAAACACAGATCGACAATCTCTAGAAGGGACGAGGTGGAGGAAGGAGGGAGCAGATCATGAGAAGGAGGCCAAAAGGTGCGGGTGAGACTCAATAAAGGGCTAACAAGCAAGGGCAACCACCGATTGAAATCTAAAACCTTCAGCAGAGGGCGGAGAGGACATGGATGTAGATGATACAGATCAAATTAACCTAAAGACCACTCTCTTTCTCTTAAATAAGAGATCATTGTAGTACTTAAGGGTCGGATTCCATCCACAAAGGTTTTTTGTTCACACAATAAGCTATCAATTTCGAAATTTAGCTAAATAAAATATAATAAAATTAAAATTAAAAAAGCAATTAAATTGATGAAAGTTGATATAGATCAAAGCGGCAGGTTTAGGGAATTTCTCAGGAAATAAACAAATAAGAGATCTTAGCAAGTAATTAGGATTATTATCGAACTGTTCTAGAACTCAAATCACTAAGCTATAGCCAACCAACTCTCGCCTGAATTGACTAACTAAACCTAATAGCATGAAGTTCCAACTCTCGTCTGTAAACTCCTAAAATTAGACTACCATTAAAATCCGGTTTGATATGTTCACATAGATTCCTAGACCAACTCTCGTCTGAATCTAGTAATTTCTGCCCACCTAGGATAGTTCCAGTAATAGGCGCATTCTCGTGTCTAACCTGCCGCTTATCCTAAGATCAAGTTCTAGTTAGCTACTCTAGAACTAGCATTAAGAACAACCTAAGGTGAAGAACTCTATAGATTAATCATAACAGGTTATCGATCTACTAATTCATCTAAGTCCCTATCTCCAAATGTGTTCCGAACGTGTAAAAATCTGAAAATGACTAGAAAATACTCTAGAAACAACAAAAAAAACTCTAAAACTGATACATATATAATGGCTAAAAACAATAAAATCTATGTTTTCAATATCAACAATATTTGCTTATAATTATTAATGTTTATGTTGATTACAGAAATGGATCAAGTTTCAAACAAAACGATGGCAAGAAAAAATATCAAAAAATTTGTATACCAGATAGTTGAACAACACACATTATTCTAAGACATACGAGATTTTTCTCTGAGTTAAAACCGATAAAAACTATTATCAATACAATAGCGGATCCTACGGACTTGATCGACAGAAGTGGCAAAGCAAATTTTAAATTCCCTAATGGAACAAAGTTTCCCATAGATAATGTCTTATATTCTCCGAATTCTAAGAAGAATTTGTTGAGTTTCTAAGACATATACCTTCAAGGTTATGAAACTCAGTCTGCCACTGAGAATGGGAAGAAGTATATGTGGATGTCGGATTCACACACTTGAATATTTGTTTATTTTGTGGGAATGAATACTCTTGAGGACAAAAATACGATACAAAAAGCTATGAATTGAAATGAAAAATGATTATAGTGTATTTGCTAGAAAAGTTGCGTATATCCTTTACATGGCTCATAGCCCTATTATTTATACTAACCAACGGACACATTTAACTCTCAATTAATACAATTATTCTCTCTTAAATGTGTCCGTTTTCG